TGAGTCCACTGCTCTAATCAGGCTCCTGATTTTCTTTCTGAACCCTTGCAGTGTGCTCTGTTCGCCTTCTCCATTGGCAAATAGAAGCATCAGAAGGAACAAAAACTCCTTAATATGGAGTGGGTGTTAAACCTCTATCTGAAAAAGCTGACATCTGTGGGTCATGATGCGTCCTGGTTTCAYGTTAGTTGCTTCATTAAAACACATTTTTGAGCACATACCTATTTATTACAACAGCTGTTGCATATGCCTGAATTTGTTGAAATCCATAAAACTACTTAGAGTAGCAACTTCATTGGGAAGCAATGGGACTGCTGCTAGGAGACTGAAAAAGGCCAAGAAACAGGTTTTTTATAGATGTAAGAGTTTTGGTCTGTTCTCTGAATACGTGCAGTGCCTGTTAGCCAAAAGACAGGATCTCTGACAGTCCCTGTCTGCTTCTCTTCAGAAGGACTGTGCATCGTAAACTGCARAAACTGGTGGAACTGCTGGGGCTATTGCTGGTTAGCTTGAGAACCCTTTCAAACCGTGACATAAAGATATATTCAGAAAACTGCTGTCATCTCCTTTATCTGTTTATAAYTCTTAGTATAGAAGAATGATGCAAAGATTACTTTGAAAAAATATTTTAAAGTACTATATAAAACTGTGGCCTTTTTTTAGCCTTTAAAGATGAAGCTGGCAACCATAATTAAGAGCAAGGATCCTTACATTCCCTTTCTTCAAAACTTCAGTTATGATCTTATGATAAGTAAAATAAAGAACTATGTTGAACTCTTCATGAAAGACAATGAAGCTAACTTCTTAATACAGGTATGTCTAAACTTTTTGGGAAACTTCAAAGGAGACACATAAGAAGATTAAATAGAATGTTACTTTCAAGGCAGTTGTGTAGATGGTGTTCAGTTGTTGCATAAGTTGAGAGGGAAAGCTTATCTTGCTATGGATGGTCTCATTAATGACAGAATTTGAATATAGGTTTAGGAAAAATAGAAAGAATAAGATTACTCTAAAACTTCCCTTTTTTTCTTTCCCCCAACTGCTTTGCTTAGAAAAGTAGCATTAAAAAAAGCATAGTTAGAACTTCACCTGTCATCTTGAATATGTTTAAAAGGCAAGTTCTGATCTAAGATACCCTGAAAGATAATGTATTTATTGGCTTGAAAAAAAAACATATAAAAATATCATATTAAAACTAAAAGATCTAGACAGCTTAATTTGGTCAAAAGCTCTAGGAATGTCAGAATAATTAGAGATTTAAAGCTATGTTTTCTTTTTTATTTTCTGTAAACAAGTTCCTTACAAACCTTATTGCTCAAAGGTGATTTAAAATTGCGAAGAACAACATTCCTCCTGCAGCTCATCTTTGGGAGGATTGTAAAGAATTTCCCTCATGTTTACTTGCTGTAAAAGAACATTGAATTATTCAATTACGAAAGCACAAATACCTAAAGAATAAGAAGTAAATTTTAAATAAACCTGAAATTACTCTAGAGTTTGTTTTTCTCCCAGAATGATAAATTAGCCTCTCAGTATTTTATATATATATATATATAAAATAAATCACTATTTTAACAGTCTAAATATCTATATGTTTTGTTAGGCAACTCAGCTGTCACTTTCTCAGGCAATGTCTTCGAGCCTGAGAGTGCAGAGGTTTGGAGGTATCTGAGAAAGCCCAGAACCCCTCTCGAACACCTCCGTGCTGCACCACTGCTGCCTGCATGGCCTCCTGGCTGTCCTTATTGGCAGCAATGTGGCAAATCCTTTCTTTTTTTTTTTCTGCTGAAATATTTTTACTTTAGTCTGAATGACCTTGGGAAGTGAAGGGACCACATGCCATTATCTCCCACAGCTCTCTGCTACCCAAGCATAGAAAAACACTAGAGCTTTAGCTGCTCTTTCCCTTCCTGAGTACCACATATGGAAATGTAAGAAGTCTCTCACTGCTGTGAGCTGGACCATTTTGTAGGCTGCTTTTTATGGGCTACTATCAAGCTTGGAATCTGCAAGAGTGTGGCACCCACTGCTCACAAAGCTCTTGAGCTTCAAGAAACATTTGGGTTAGCTGCCTTAAGTACAATCTGCAGATACTGCAAGCCCAAGAAACAGGATCTGTACCATGTAAACGTCCATCTGATTAATCAGTAACTGGGCAGTAATTTGAAAGTGCTGCTTATTCTAGAACGTAGATATGAGGAATTTGGGAACAGTACAAATTCTAAGGTGTTTGAGAAGTTCAATAGAGTAATGACCTCTTTCCACTCTTCTGCTCCCCTGGCCCCCAGTGGAGGAAAAATCGGTTTTGCTTATGGCTAAAATAGATTTATATTGAGAAAACARGGCAAGCTACCTTAAGCTTGGTAAGACGTATGTCTTTTGAATATGTTGTAGGCTTTCTRGATCCTGCCCCATGCTGCGCTGAGTGGAGCAAAAAGAACTGAGATTAGTGTTTCACTTCTATTTTAATTACAAACGACTTAGCAATACTCTCACAGTATTTACCGTCTTCTTTATTTCCTGCAGTGTATCTAACATATCCTCTGTGTTCCCTTGCTTTGCAAGTCCTAATTCGATTTCTCTTGGTGTACCTGTAAAAATTAGCTGTAACTATGCCTAAAGTTTCTGAATTTTTAGCTGTTAGGCCAAAATCCATTTTTTTTTCTAATCTCATTACAATTGTTATTTTGAAACATGTTATTGTAATGGTAGTGCCCTATGTTAAAGAGTCTTGAAAGTAAGTATTGTTAGCTCTAATAGAAGGTACATTAAATAACTTCTTACAAAGATTATTTTAGGTACTGTTTGGGTCTTAAAATATTGACTCCATTTTGTGCAGGCTGCCACGAAACAAATGGAGGCTAAAGACTTAGGAGCAACAGTATTGCAGAATGAAGCTGTGGATGTCAGTGCAACAAAAGAAGAAATTGATTTGGAGGCAAATCCGAGGTTTGTATTCGGCCGTGTATTTCTGAGACAGCTTGAACTAGAAATAGGTTGAAGGAAGAATGTTAAATTCTAAAATTGCCATTCAACAGAAAATGAAAATTACAAATATGTTCTCTTCTGTATTGAACTTCTAAATTTGATTGTTGCTCTTGGCATTTGCATTGGATAGCTTGACTTTAAGTACTTGGAGAGGCACTTTTTTTCAGTTCAAACAGCTGTCAGTCTTGAATTAAAAACATTTCAAGCTTTTACTTTGTTTTTATTTGCTTTAATCTTTTTAATTTTGGGCTATATAGGCCTCCTGGAGAAGGAAGACCTATAACACAATTACATCTGAAAGAGGCTTGATATAAGACTTGATCAAAAACTTAGAGAAAAAAATATTAGGCTGTAAAGAATTGAAGTATGGAGCAGAAAAAAAAAAAAAAACATTTGAAATGCCTTGTCTCTTAAATATCTTGTCTTGGTGGGGGTGTGTATGTTTTCTTTTAGCTTTATGGAAGAGCTGAGTACTACAAATCAGTCATCTGAAAGTGGAAGAAAACTCAAAGGAAGGTAGAACGATTTTTGTTGCTGCTGCTGCTAATGCTCATACACATTCATGGAAGTTGTCAGTACCTTTTATTACAGTTATGTTTCTTGCAGGACTCGCTCAGGAGGCAAACACAGAAAAAGAAGTGCTCTTCAAAGTGAGTACCAGCTAACTTCTATGCTGCTAAAACAATGTGAATGCTCTTTCCAGACAAAGAGTCGATGGTTTGTTAACTCCTCTCCAGATAATGATTGAATTCCTGGAAAAATAATTATGGTAGGGAAAAAAATGATTTGTACAAACACTGTGCACAACAATGCCCCACTTACAAGTATGAAATGGCCCAAGGTTCCCAGGCATTTCATCTTGCAAACTCATTTACTTTTTTTATGTTTCTTGTCTTTTTATTAAGGTTATGGTATTCTATCCCAAAGAATGTGATCAATACAGTATTGATTTTTTTTCTCCTGGGCTTCTGACCTAGTAATTCTAGGGAGAATAAGCTAAAGAGGCTGACTGGTTCATGGTAAAAAATGATGTTTAAGATGCCCAAAACTAGGATGCTTATGCCTAACTTTCCTGGTAGTATTTTAAAAATACTTATATATTGCATGATTTGTGTTGTACCTCCATTCTGAAAAGCATTAGTACCCTGTTGCCACAAATAGCCAGTGTCTGATGTCTAATTATTTTTCTTTTTTTTCTCTTTAAAATTTAAAGTTAATGGAAAGAGTGAATATATATTATGTGCTAGGTTTTGCTTAATTACTTAAAGCATTCTTTCATAAGCTGTTATAAAAATAGCCTTTTTTGAAAAGTTTTCTGAGTCTTTGAGCTTTTTTTGCACACAGCTCTTAATACGTATATATTTATGAAGATGTATACTCATGTACACAGAGATATACTGAAGTTATCTCACTCTGTCAATAATAACATAATAATGTTATGTGATTGACTCACTAAGACTGCTTCACACTGATCTGGATGTATTTCAAATGTCTCCTAGGTCTGGACAGCTTGAAGAATATAGAAAAACATGATGCTTGGGCATGTGGTCGAAAAAGGCAGGTTTGTRTCCATTCCCTCTTCCAAGTGGAGATAATAAAGTATTTGCACCCTTAATAGGGTTTTTGTTTGCTTGTCTTCCAACTTTTATCTGAATAGGCCCCTAGGGATGCAATTCAAAATGCCTGGGTTTGGTAGTCTCTCTGTTGYTCAAGTGCCACTGTCCCTAAGATTACCTCAAATGCTGTCATCAYTTGCTGTTTTGCTTTGTGTGGCTGTGGCCTCAGATCTACCTCTGTACACTTCCCTGCCAGCTGTTTCATTCTTCTGACACCTCAACCTTCATGCAACGTAGGAGGATGAACCTCCCATGGGAGGATGAACCTACACGTGTGGGTGTGTTTTTTATTAGTCCTCAAGGAGAACTGTGCTTAGTCCTAAACTTTTAAGAATATTTACGGAAGTTAAAGTTCACAACAGTGTCCTCTGAGCAYTGAGGAAAGCATAGGTCTGTTCTCTCTCTGCTGGTGTTTGCAATGGCAAGACCTCTCACAGGGGGCTGTGTGGAGAGCAATGATAGTGGCCTTTTAACCAGTGAATCTGCTCCTCTGCCTGATCGTGTGGGTTATGTAAGATCCGTTGCGTGCACGGAGGAATGCGGTGAATGTCAGAGCTGTTGATGTCCAGAGCTGCCTTGTCCAGCGTCTCGCTCTGCGCTGGCCTTGTTGGCTCTTGCTTGCCCTCCCCTTATWAAGGGCTTTGCACTGTGCTGCTTCCGTGCCCCTTTGCAGCCCTTTCATTGCTGGGTTTTCATTCAGCTCCGTACAAACARTCTGCAGTGCGACTGGAAGGAGGTGCACTTGATTTTCTTAATCTTAAACTCCTTTAGGGTGTTAGTGTTACTGAAAACTGGGTGTAAGTGTCTCTGAATATTTAGCAACTGCTTGTACTGCAGTTATACTTTAGTGRGGTTTTTTTTTGTTGTTCCCCTGCACTGTGGCAGTTGTCTAATTGAAACCTGCTTATCTATTTGCTTAAATAATGGGTCTGAAAATCCAGGTCTTCAGAATTCAGCCACTTGTGTGAAAATTATTTGCATATATTTAGATTTGGACAAATTGCAGAAGAAAAAGGGTCCCTTGTATAATCAAAAGATACCACATTGCTGGGGGGGAAAAAAAAATCTGTAATTCTGCAGATTAACAAGATTTTTGGATGTGTGAGGATATGTCTACACAGTCTGGCTGGCAAAACAAAGGTTGTTCTGTTGGCAACCTGTCCTAGCCAGATGTCAACCAGCCCTGGCCAGGACACTGTCCCTGTGGTAGCTCGAGGACAGCGCTGGGCTAGGCCCAGTCTGTCCAGCCAGTCTTAGCACCTGTTGCCAGTGCAAGGAGAGGGTGTGAAAACTGCCTGCGCCTTCTAGGACAGCCCCTGATTCGGTCCTGGCAGTTGGGACGTTGTTACTGTTCCCTGTGGGTCCCACTRTGAACGGGAAAAACATGTAGGCTGCTCATTTGTATGTGAAACTGGGGAAAGTTAGAAACTTAGAAGGAGRGATAGAAGACTTTAAAAAAAAAAAAAAAAARGCAATTAAAAAGCATAAAAACMAACAACTCTTTAACAGCAAATGTAACCAATCACTGTAACAAAATGACAAGGGTTGTGATTGTTTCAGCKGCTGGAAATACTTGAATTCTGTCCGGTGCTATAGGTCAAGCATAGCTGCCTTACTTGAATAAAGATTTTATTTAGGAAAGTTTTTCTGGCATGCTGCAAAATAAGTTGAGTGAGAGGACACCAGTGGAATCTCTGGCATTTTATTAAAAACAACAACAAAAGCACTATTTGGTGCTAATATTGCAAAAGATCTGTGCCAGTCTTTTCTTCATGCAGTGCTTGGGTTTCCAACCAAGAGCAGTTACATGAAGTGTTTTTCATAGACAGACAAGTTTAGGCAAGTTTAACATTTCCAAGGGTTTGCAGAGACCAAGCTGCTTCCCCTGGGTCTGCTCCTGCCACAGTGCTTAGTGAGTGAGGTATTCTTTGTGGCAAGACTTTTCAATCAGTTTGACATGCTGTTAGTTGAAATCAATAGGTCTTCGTGTAATGCACTTTGTAGGGTGTGTTGTATATTTGTTTTCTCTCTTGGTTTTTAAGAATCCACACTTTCACTGAGCACAACTAAATAGGGCTTTAGCCATCTTGCTGGCTCCCCTGTTGCCTTTATTAAAAACACTTTAAGGGCTTCTTTGTTCCTTCAGAGCAATTACAAAATAAGTAAAGCCCAGACAGTGGTCAAATTCAGAAGTTATTTGTGTATTAAGCAATACTAAGAGTATGTAGGTTTTC